ATAGTCCTTCAAGCTTTTGTTGTGGGATTTTTCTTCCTCTCTCAGGGATTGTATAGCAGTGGAAGGGCCAAAACCAGATAGTGTGCCGGACCGTAAACGTTATGGGCCCATGAAGCTTCTGCAGTTTCGTGAGAATTACCGTCCAGCCTACTGGGGCACATGGAGCAAGAACAGTCTACACATCTCACCTCGCTGCCCCTTTAGACAAGACAAGGTGAAACCTTTATTTGTAATTTTATTAATGTCTTCTGTTCATGCACCATGCGGTGAATGTGCTTATGTGGGTTGCCAGTTTATGTGTAGCTGTAGTGATAGCAACTGTTCTCTACGACCATAGAGTTTACTTGACTATGAGGTGGACAGTGATGAAGAATGGGAGGAAGAAGAGCCAGGAGAGTCCCTGTCTCATAGTGAAGGGGTAAGTCTTTTTTTTTTTTTTTTGCCCCCCATTTAATAACTGATTTAGACACATGCAGACATATAAACATATAGGTATTACTGTTCGTCAAACAACACACCCACATTTGTTTTTTCTTCTCTTTGAAATCATTGAAACTGACCCGTTTCAATCACTCATAATTTATATAGAAATCACAGATTGTTGTCCCAAAGTCCTGCTTTGAAAACGACCATTGAGTTCAGTGTGTGTGTGCGTGTGCGTGTGCGTGCGTGCGCGCGCGCGTGCGTTGAACTTAAAAAAAGACCATCTTGTGATGTCATTGTTCAACCATGACACAATAAAATGTTGACTGTGAGCACTTGGACCACACCTAATGATTTTAAACTCAGTCATATGGTTCTTAATGTTTGTTTATCCATTGCCATACTCATCAACCCCTACCAAAGTATTCAAATCCATCTTAAATTATAGTTGACGTTACAGTATGCATCTTCAGCCATGCTATGATTGTATGAAATGACAGCGATGCGTGTTTCTTTTTACAAGGTGAAAACGATACCGGTTATGCTTTGTGGCTGGTAACAACTGTGACAGTGATTATTTTACTCGTTTGAAAGCTGTGAACTCTTGATCACTTTTAGGAAGATGAGGAAGAGGGAGGAGAAGATGATGACGATGACGATGATGGATTCTTTGTTCCTCATGGCTACCTTTCAGAAGATGAAGGGGCACTGGAAGAAGAGGTATGAATCGAACTACAGTATTAGTTCCCTCTGTCACCTTACTGACAGAATTGTTTGACTCTTCTAGTTTCAAAATACTTTGGCAAAGTTTCTTTTGGCGGTTCGCACAACTGATAATGCCCAATAAACTTCCCAGGATGGTGGTGACCTGGAAAAGCAGAAACTCCGTCAGAAACTGAAAGCAAGGGAGTGGGATGAGCTTATGTCCAGCAAGAAGAAGATGAAGGTCCTGGAGCCGGTGGTGAGGGGCTGCATCTGGGAGGGAGAAGCACCTGGCTTTGAACTTTTACAGTCATATGCTGTGTGCTTGGTGGAGCCTTTACCCAAAGCAGACAACAGTCCCAGCCCAGAGGAGATGTCACTGAAGTCTCAGAGAGAAGAAAAATGTAAGTGTCTGTCAGATGTTTTGCTTGCATGCAAAGTTTGAATGGTAAATGGCCTGTATTTGTATAGCTCTTTACTAGTCCCTAAGGAACCCCAAAGCGCTTTACACAACCAGTCATCCACCCATTCACACACACATTCACACACTGGTGATGGCAAGCTACATTGTAGCCACAGTCACCCTGTGGCGCACTGACAGAGGCGAGGCTGCCGGACACTGGCGCCACTGGGCCCTCTGGCCACCACCAGTAGGCAACGGGTGAAGTGTCTTGCCCAAGGACACAACGACCTAGACTGTCCAAGCCGGGGCTCGAACCGGCAACCTTCCGATTACAAGGTGAACACCCAACTCTTGAGCCACAATTGATTGAAGAGCTGCCTGCTTCTCTTGTGATTAATTAAGGAGCAAGTAAAAAACATTAGAACGAGGCAACTTCAACGTAGGTACGTACATACAAGGCGGCTCACTTTACCATAAATTGTATGGGTGTGCATCTATCTGCATATTTAGCAAAAAATGTGCCATTTCTTCACTCAGTGAAGTGATCGTTAAGCTTCAGCAGCAGTTCTCAAGGTTCTTGCTGTGAAACTGTAACTGTTTAGCAGTGAACACAAGTCCTGCCTGACTAAAAAGTCCCTCACAGGCTCCAGATGCAGGAAGGGCTGTACTGACTTTGAATGACAGTTTCTTGATGTGAGGAAAGCTATGCAGTAGATCCATATTTCTAATAAGTCATCTTCATCGGATAGGCTACTGTTTGTACTGGCCAACTCTGTGTCTAGGTGATGTCTGATGAAGTTGAGACCTGTGGAAAGATGTATGGTTTTCAAAAGAATTAGGTCTGGGCATTATTGTGCTGTATAGGATGTTTGCCATGAAAATTTGATCACACTGGAGATGTTTTTTACTAACTACTAAAACAAAATCTTATCATTCATAGCCAACATAAACAATTTGCGATGATTTCCAGATTACATTCCAAATCAGAACTTATGCAAGGCTAAGCAGTGATGGCAAATAGTCTCCTTCAAAAAAATGTTTAGCCTTCCTCTTAGTTATAAACTTCTACACCTGATAATTGAAGTTCATTTTCTTTTCACTTGTTGAGAAAAGAAAAATATTAAAACAGCTTAATTACCAATGTAGTTTCTAGCAGAGAAAGGGAGTGATTCTGGAAATGCGCATCATTTATTTATTTTTAATCATTTAGTTTTTAATTAATTTAATTAATTAATTTTTAATGTGGCTCAAGACTGTGATCCTATAACCCACAGGTGTTAAGCTCCAGTCCTCGAGGGTCAGTGTCCTGAAACTATTAAACGTGTCCTTGCCGCTACACACCAGAATAAAATGATGTCATTTGCAAGACTCTATAGTACTTGACTCCGTGCTAAGGTGGCAATTCAGCCGTTTAATTCATGTGTGTTGGAGTATGGACACATCAAAAAGTTGCAGTACACTGACCATCGAGGAATTGAGCTCAACACAGCTGCTGTAACATAAGGATGACATCCACCTAACCACAGCTAAAAAAAACGAAATTTAGCATGCTTCCTCAGGTTAGATGTTGAGTTTTTGTTATGCTGAAATGTCGGTTTGTTTTGGCTCACATTGAAGACACCGCGTTATACAGCTGTTATTTTGTACTGCTTTTACGCGAAACATGCTTTGTACATGAGGGCAAGGGTGTTCCTCCTCTTCAGTTCTAGCTACCTCTGCCATTTTTAAAAAATGTGTTTTATATCTGGTCATGTGACTGCATGGCTACATCTGATTGGTGAAAGAGTTACAGGTAACTCCAATGGCGGCGTGATCCATTATTAGTAGTAGTATTATCTAATGTTATTAGATATAATGTTATTAGACTAGAAATGAATTATTTTTAAAAAGTAACAAGTCAAATATTGCCAAATATAGTGGAGTAAAAGTAGCAGTTCTTCTTCACAAATGTACTCAAGTAAAAAGTATGGTGTAATAAAGGTACTTTTAAAAGTACTTTTCCCCCCCAAAACTTATTCAAGTTAATGTAATGGAGTAAATGTAACTTATTACTACCCACCTCTGTAACTGAGATCTCAAATTCTGACCATACAGTAACCAGCATGTTTACAAAATAAAATTTTTAGACTAGAGTTTCTAGAGTAAGCCTTCAAAATAAAAGCAGGAAAAATCGTCTGTTATCAATTATCTTCTCATGGATGGATGGTAAAACAGGAGGTGTAAAGTGTCCATATAAAGTCTTGCAAACTCTGGATCAACTTATTTTGGCATGGTTCTACGCTAGCCTAATATTGCACAGCACTGTTGGCTTTCTTTTTTTCGTTCTTTCTTCAAGGAAATAAATCTTTTGATTTTTATGTGAAATGTATTTAAATTCTAATAAATGTATGTATTTATGACATCACAATGAATAACTCCCTAATATTCTCGTCTTGGACAGTACTCGGTAAGCTGCTGCCTCTTCTGCATGGCAATCTCAACAGTAGCAAAGTGATCATCAATGAGTTTCGGGAGTTTTGTCGCCAGGAGACCACCTCCTCATCTCCTCCTGTTCTGTCCAGCCCTCAGAACCCAGCAGAAAACATTCCCAGCAGGTAAAGCAATGGTTAGGGAACAGTAAATGTAATATTCAGTGTGGACGTTTATGTTTATATGGTGTAGTTGTATTGTCTTGAGATTTTTCCTTTCCCTCCTGCTTTGATCAGGATGCAGCTGCGACGCCTCATCAAGAACAATGCTGTTTATGAAAAGCGTTCAGCCCACAGGCGATGCTGCTGGTATGTGCACCAAGAGGTTCTGTCCCGTTTTGGTCAGGAGGCTCTTCCAGTGCCCTGCCAATGGACCTACCTCACCACGGGAGCTCGAGAAGAACCCCGTGAAGAACCCCAGGCAGCCACAGGCTCTCAGGGAAACTCTCCCACAACTCCCCAGAGCTGCTCCACCACCCCTTCATCCGCTAACAAAAGGAAGAGCACAGGCAGCATGTCAATCACCAAGTTTATGAAGAGATGTAATGATCCTGAGCAGGTAGGTAAAGGTGGATTGTGAGAGTTCTAATTTTTTATTTTTTTTAAAAGCCCTGTTTGCAGGACTGGTCTACAATGAAATATCCACTTCACATTACCACTTTCAATATCATGTTACCAAACACGTGAAAGGATTTTCTTAAACTGACTGCAGCTTTTTACTGTTTACCAGACGGAAACAATGGAGGCTGACGGTTTTCAAGCTGACACTGAGGATGATGATGAAGATGACTGTGTAATTATTTCTACCCAAAGTGGTAAGCTGCATAGGAAGATTATTATTTTTTGTAAAACTTTACCTTTTAACCGTAATTTTCAACTTTAAGGTTTAAACCAAGATTCAACGACATCACCAGAAAATAATAGTGAATAAATGGATGTGAAAGTGTTCATTTTAAACATGGCTACAATCAAGTGAGGCCAGCATATATACAAGTAATTCCTGTGATGCAAAAGTTCAGACTGCTGCAAATGCTCATTTTACTCTTACTTGCCAATGAGAATAGCTCCTAACATAGTCATCTACTGTTCATACCTTTTTTGGAGTAGCAGTCAATCAGAAGAAGTTTTCCAGTTGTCTGTAGTTGGATTTTGATGGTAGTGATTGATTTTTAAAAACTGTGTAGTGAACTTTTATTTCAGCTTCTGAAGTAGGGCGTGTCAGAAAAGGTTTGAAAGTGGGTGAACTGAGGGGTACCACCAAGACCCAGTATAACATAAATGGGGATTGTTTTTAATTGTCAAGTATGGAAACTTACTGTGGAGTCAAAGAATAAAATTATGGAGATAGAAATTAATAGCACAATAGAGCCACTTTGAGCCAAGCATTTAACCTAAGCTGTTTATTACAGTTTCCTATATAGATTATTCAGTTTTAAAGTGTATGTATACATTTTAGACACCTAAATTAAATCTTATTACATTTGTACTTTTTTCAGGCCCTACAAAAGAGACGTCCAGCGAGGGAGATGGTACAATCGAAACAACCCCCTCTGACACTGCTGCTCTCCCCACTGCAAGCTCTGCGTCTGCCCTCGACACTGTCTGAGTGCAGGACAGGCAGTCTTCACCCAGTCAGACTACCCTTTTTCTGCCTAGAAATTCCTGCTTGCTGGATCTGAACTCCACGGTGTGCCAGACAGAATCAAGTCTTCAAGTAAGATGAAGCACCTAAGATACGGGTAACTCGTAGCAGGTAAACTCTGCTCAGGATTGAGTTCCCTCTCAACTAATTCAGTTCAGTCAGCAGCCATCGGGCCGATAGCAGCTATCCCTAATATTGGTGACTGGTTTGAATAAGGACAGGCTTGACCAGTATTCCAGTATTCATTGATTATATCTGATATTTGTGTTTAACGTGGGCCTATAGAGGGGAAGGTGAATTTCTCCGGCACTGCTTTAGCTGCTGCTGCAGATTTGGGTTAAACAGGGAGAAAGCAGAACACAAATGGCCTTTTTTTTTTTTTTTTTTCCCCCTCCCTCCACGAGAAGCATCCAAGACATCAAGAACATTATTTACGGTTTTTGAAATGTTCAATTCATCAAGTTGTGGATGTGATATTTTCTAATGTATATAGGTTACCAAAATGAGAAGCTTAAAGTCCATCTGTACATTTTCTTCTGATTTCCATGGGTTCATTTATTCTGCAACTTCTAAACCTGACAAACTCACTGGAGTAGTTGCTAGATCTGTACTTGTACAGTTAGGTTCAGTGTCACAGTGTTTTATAAATATGTATTTTCTTTATTTTTCAAGAATACTTGAACAGGATAAATCAATTAAACATGAATAAAAGTACTGCACTTTTATATACAGTTTATTTCTTGTCTTTTTGGGATGTTTTGTTGTTCTATATAACAAAACATATATATTAGTTGTTAGTTTTTAGTAGAGTTCAGTAAAAAAAAAACTGGCAGCTGAGTTGTTACATGGAACTAAACTCAGAAAATATTTGTCCCACAATGGGCAATTAAGTTTGACAGTTAAGTAATATATTAATGATGCACGTGTTATCTAAATCTTCTGTTACACAACATCAGTAAACTGTCATGTTTAAGAAACCAGTGCCAGGTGATTTAGGCTCACGTGGCTTTATCCTGCTGGAAACAGTCATCGCTGTTATACACTGTTGTCACAAAGGAATAAACATACCGGTAGTCAGGAGTAATATTGATGTTTACGCCAAATTCTGACTCTACCCTCTGAATGTTGCACCAGAAATTCACTCATCAGACCAGGCAACAGTTTTCCCATCTTCTGCTGATCATTTTGGTGTGCGAACTGTAGCATCAGTTCTGTTGTTAGCTGACTTGAGTTATACCCGGAGAGCCATCTGCTTCAAGGTTAGACGTGTATTCAGAAATGCTCTTGCGCATATCTTGGTTGTAACGAGTCGCTATTTGAACAGTCAGGCCATTCTCTGACATCACATCATCAACATATTTGCTGCGCACTGGATATTTATTTATTTTTTTTCCCCCAGATCATTTTTGGTACACGGTACAGATGTTTGTGCTGAAAAATCACGTAAAGCAGCTGTTTCTAAAGTACTTAGAGGAACATCTGAATACTGATACTGCAGTTCACCTTAGCCAATTTGAATGTATATGATAGGGATAGAACACCAATCAGACTAAGCCACACAGACAACACTTGGTGACAGTGGGAGGGAAAAACTCACTTTTAACAGAAAGAGACCCCAAAAGCAGGCTCAGGGAGAGGAAACCATCTACCTGGTTACAGCTGGCTAGGGGGGCTGAGGAGTATTAGCAGCTCTAATTTAGTTTAAAGATGGTAACCCGTTTTTGACTTATTTTGCTGTTATTTAGTTTAAAAAAAACAAACAAACTGGGGCACTATCTAACATGGTTTACCAGTTGAGAGGAGGGAAACTCCCCACCAACACATCCATTAAAAGTCTAATAAGATGATGTAGTCTGGTTAAAGACACTTTGTATTTCATCCAATTAACCCTTTAAAGCCAGAACCATAAAATAATTGCCAGAAAATTATAATTTTATGAAAATGGAGTGATTGTTGAACTGTCTGCATATATGAATTTTAAGTTGTATCATATTTGTTACAACAGGTTCTTTTCTTTTTGCAATTTATTTTTTTCATAGGGAAAATCTGCAATAACGCATTGAATATCATACACTTGACTTTAAAGGGTCCAAATCTGAGAGCAGTAAATGGCTGGCTGCTAAACTAATTTCACATTTAAGGTATCAGCACATCAAGATGTTGCACATATTATGAAGGCTTTGCAAATAAATACATGTCCAACACAAGAGAAAACATTTCCTATTCCAAAGACAACTTTTATTTATTTTTTTAAACAGACTTCTGTTTGTTAAAAGTGAAGAGGCTTTGCAAGCGATCGTTATTACAGGCAGCTTAAAGCAACAGAACACCACTCGGAAGGAAACATCTGGACAGATCACAACTGCTCACTTAATTTTTCATACTGTTATGGTGCTAATGAAAGATCTACATCCCTTTTATGCAATACCTGTGGACAAGTGTTAGACTGCAGAAATGTTTCTTTTGGCTGATTCAACCTGGGCTGTGAATGAAATAGTGGACATCAGTTTGTTTCCCCATCACCCAGTTCTAATTTGTGTGTTCAGTGTGCAACTGACCATTATTAGCAACATAAGAGGGGAAAAGACAGTATCCCCTAACCTTAGACTGATGTTACATAATTGTGTACATTTCCCTTGTGATGCATGGAAATGGTAAGAGGTAGGCTGTTGTCATTTAACCAACCACTACAAGGAGAAAGTAATTAGGTTTTAAAGTTCTACTTGGTAAATGCTCATGTACAGCAAAATCACAACCAAAATAAACATATGCAGCTTGAATAAACTTTGAAACTTCAGTCTCTTTTGTAACTTGAGTTGTCACTGGATTCAGTTCGGACAATTGGTGTTTTGAGGTGTTTTCATGTACTCAGAACATTTTTATGTGGAGAAAAATAAGTGTTTGATGCAAACAAATACAAAAAATAATTAACCACCATTTTCAATACAACAGAAATCCATGCTGCCAGAAATTTGGCCATCTCCATGCCAGGGTGGAGTTGGTTACATAAAGCTTCAACATAAAATTCAAACATTAATCATTTAAGTGTGAACAATGTAATAGTAGAGGTGTTTAGGCCCCTCCCTACTCCCCAAAATATCCTTCATTGTTACAAACTTACAAAATACTTGATTCCAGTACTAGAATTGCCTTCACATTGTCACCACATGGCTGACACAATTATAAAACTATATATATGGGCCTCATCTTTTAATTATTTTTAAGTTACCCCTCTGTTTTATCTCAACATAAATTTCAAAATTATCCAAAATAAAAACTTTGATTTATGAATTCTGATTTAGGCTCATGCTCATACTGAAGCAACAACAAAAGACAGTCTGTGTTGTAACACCAAGGAGTTCAAGGCCGCTCCGGAGCAGAGGACAAAAGGGCAACAGAAGCTTATGTATGTTTTCAGCAATAAAGCCAGACTCGTATCACATCAAATCAGTTAACAGACTACACTGAGCTAATCTCGAACACCGCCAAACAAAGCACAGAGCATTTCAAGTCTGAAGTAAAGCCAGTGCACTGACACCCAGCAGCCTTAAAAAAAACCAAAATCACAGGAGCCGCTGAAGGAGCTGAGATACTTAACGTGATTCAACAACTGTATCTTGAACGGTCTTTGCTATTTATTTTTTTCTAAAGGGGAGGAAGTGGTGACACAGTTAAAACAGGGTCTCAACATGCTTTGAAAACTCTACCTGACTGACTTGGGTAGAACAGGAAAGACTGCAGCTGCAGAGTCTGTTTACTACACAGCATGTACATTCGGGATGCAAAACAACCACGTGCTCCTGCTTTCTCTTTCCATCTGTCAGCAGTGCTTCCTTCAACATGTCCTGCTGAAGCAGGCTGTGTTGTGACCTCATCCCCATGGGGAGATTATGCTCAGCCCAACAAATATATTAGGGTAACATTGCCCCTAATCTATCACTGCTACCGACTTAGGTTAGAGTTTGCAAAAATAAATGTGTCACTAGTAAAGGGCCGAATTCACCCCAGTAGTGTGAGAGGAAAGAGGGAGGTAGAGGGGAGGGTTCGGGAGAGAGTACTCCTGCTCAGCTCAGGCTCCGAATGTTTTCCAGCAGTTCCGGTTTGAGGAGAGTGGGGCTCTTTCCACCTGCAGCTGCAATATCAGCCTGCACAGCTGCATCCCAGGCAAACGTGAGCAGCGCAGCAGGGACCTAAAATATAAGGGAAGTCAGTACAATACAGATTATTTTTTGTTTAAAAGGGAGAAAATTAGTAGTTGAAATGTAAATGTGACACTTTACCTCAACATCAATATTACCCGACTAGAAATTACCTCAAACATTCACTCTGTTCTAAAATTTTGCCACAAACTAAAACCTGAATTAAAACCCTTGCTCTGTGCTGTGGGTTTTAACATTGAAGTTCGTTTTCATTCTCCCAGTGTCCACATTCATCAGAAAGAAATACTAAATACAGTGTTACGTGTTAGGGCAACAATGGGACTGACAAAAAGATTAATCCACAGGCCGGTTTGCCAAGTAGATTCTGATTTCAACCCACCAAGTTGCACTCTGCGAGAGCAATGTCTTCAGATTCTTGTAGTTTTTGACCTCCAGGAGCAATCAGTTCAAAGGGCTGCCAACCGTCTACCAGAGACTCCCGCATGAATGAAAACAGCACAGGCATCCGGTCCCAGGCATAAAATGTTCCTGAGAGGGTCACAAATCATGAGCGGTTGTGTCGACAATGCCCACAAAACTACAATGTGTAGGATTTTTCAGAGTAAAATGCTTTTTGTTTACTCGATTTGATTTAATCTTGAAGTACATTTTAAATTGTGGCTTCACCTTGTAGCAGGTTTCCATCAGGTAGTCTCACCCTGAGCAGGGTGTAGTTGTATTTCCTCCTCTCCCTCTGTTCCTCTTTCTCCCTCATGGCTTTAGTGCGCAGCATGGCGTTCTTCTCTACTAACTCACTCCTATGAAACATACAAGGGACTCATTCGCTGATAGACAAACACTAGTAAACCAGGGAAACTTTTCTGGCTAGAGGCACATGACACACCCAGAGGCTATAAAAAGCACATCAGCATTAAATAATCCATTATTCTTGGGTGTGCTGTTAATAGTGAAAACCTAGAGTCAAATACTGCCATACAACCCAGGACAACTAAGAGTTAAAAAAAATAAAATAATAATCATTTCAATGCTGCAGTCGTTTAAAAAAAAAAAAAAAAGGTGTTAGTTGTACACCCTTTCATGGAAACAGTATTCCCTGATGGCTGCGCCCTCTTGCCCCCATGTCTCAGTCTAATCGAGCATCTGTGGAATGTGCTGGACAAATAAGTCCGATCCATAGAGGACCCACCTCAGAATTTACAAGACCTAAAGGATCTGTCGCTTTACATCATGTTGCAAAGTTGTGAGAACTAATGATCCATCGAGGGGTCACTGTCTACTGCACACATCCAGGAGACTGTCACTGTCTCCTCTGAATCTTCTTTACTTGATTACTCAAACTTGGAAACCATGTGGAACAAATATAACCAAAACCTAGTTTGATCACCAGCATATTTAGGGGCAAACTGTTACTTGTGGTTCTTTTACAGCAGTCTTGTAGGATAAATTCAAACAGGGATGAAGTTTCTCTAACCACACTGTCACAGATAAATTGCAAATCCTATGAGACAAATATTGATCTTTACTCCATTTCACTGGAACTGCTACCACAGTGAGTGAAATCAAGTAATTGATCTGACTGCACAGACAATTCATTAAAGAAAAGAGAGATGACATTTCTCTACCATCTAACTAGAATTTATAGCTGACTTGAATTAGATCCATTTTTTGGATTGAAAGTGAGTCTATACCTCTGCTGTTGCTCCCTTTTGAGCTCCTCCGCTGTCAGGTTGTAGAACTCTGGCGGCAGCTCAAAGCGTTGAGCGTTAGGAGACGGCCTGAAAGCTTGAGGCTGCCTGTCCAGCTGCGCTCTGACCGGCTCGCCTCTCTGAAGACGATCCCTCCTCTCCTTCATCAGCTCCAGCGCATCGGGGCTCTGCTCTGGCAAAACCAGGAACTCCTCTTCCTCCTCTGATCTCCGTGAAAGGTGGGCACGCGTTAAAACGATGTAAAGACTGAATGATGCATAAATGAAAATCACTGGCAGGTGAGCAAACATACTGCTCATAAATATCACTATTCATTTACCTTGGCCCTCTATGGGAAGCATCACACTTGTAAAGCCCAGAGCCTGCAGGAACTCCCTGCTGCCCTCCACAGACTTTACTTTCTCCTGAAATAACACAAGGAATCTTATAAGACATGCAAAATTATCTCGTTTTCTTATAGAAATCCCATAAAGTCTGCTACAAATAGTTATTCTTGATCCAGTAGGTGAGCGTTACACACCTGGAACACTTTGTTGCTGAGTTTAATTTTCCTGTATTTCTCTTCTGTGGGGTTCTTGCATATATTTTCAACATATCTGGAAACAAAACAATGACAACAACAAAAAAACCCTTTGATGTCTAGAACAGATATTCAAAATCTGTGACAACAGCATAAAACATTTACATGTAATTAACATCACCATCAACGTCTTACTTGCTTATGATGTCCACAGCAGCCTTCACTTTCTCTCTGTCTTTGTTAAATGTGTGCATCATCATAACCGACGCCTCGACTTCATCTTCCTCAAACCGCTGCAGGCAAAAATTGCATGTTTATCTAAAGCGCCGATTAGATAAGCATTCAGTCTGACTGCACACACGTTATAACTGAACCAACATCCTTAGACATACCATTAAAATGGCCTCTTTAATGTGTACTTCCCTCTCGCTCTTGGTTAATGTGGCTCCAGTTAGTGGACAGATGAAATAGACGCCCGATACTGAGAGAAGGGTGGGATCTTTCACTGGCACTTTGGAGCCCTGGGAGGAAAATGTCAATCAGTGTTGTTAGATGCAGTGGTGAAATTTTCATCCACACTAACAGGCCACCGCTATTACTCTGAATTTAATACAGCTCACATAACTAGCCGGCTCCTTTTCTGATATTCTGAATTAGGCCTCACAACCACTGACGTATTTTCCAGTAAGGACATGTATAATTCAGGTTTCAACAAGCATATAGGGTTTTTTTTTCATATAAAAAAAGAATTGGTGCCAATAAAAAAAAGAAAGTTCTGGCTTTTCAACTAAAGAAAACCACCAGGATTGTGATAAAAACATTTTAGTACTGAACAGATTTAAGGTAAATAAGGGAAGATTAAAACAAAAGCCCACTGTCTGGCTGGAGAAAGACACCTACTTTTATCAAACTGACATTGAGATGAACAGCTGTCTGCACCTATGCTGCCCTTTTCAACACTGGACACTGTATGATAGGCTGTGTATAAACAGGGATATTTACTTTAATCAGTCATGAAAACAGCTTATCAGGAGTACTGTCTTCTTCAAAGTGAAAGAAAAAAATGAAATATTTTAAGAAGTTAAGCACAGTCGATGTGAACCAAAATTAGCATGAAAATTGTGTCACAATTCTGGTTTATGCAACACTTACCTCTGCTGCAGCTGCCTCCTTTTCTTTTTCAGCAAGTGCAGCTGCCTCGGCCTCGAGTTCTCTTTTTACTGGAAGCACGTGTAGAAAACAACTGTTATAACCAGAATATTTTATAACAGTTAATAATTTTTTTTTTAACCAAAACTGTTACCTCAAAATAAAAATCTTTGCTGTTTGCTTTATCAGTTTAAAACAGTATCTAATCATATCTACTTTCCATTGACTTCACAGGATCAGCATCTTAATATAAACATAAAGATTATGTACTTGATGCAAATCTTCCCATGAATACAAAAACAATGATTTTTTAAAATAAATACTTCTTTGGTTCAGGGACGAGTTGCTACCTGAGGTGGAGGAATTGAAATATCTGAGGGGGGAGAAAGGTCTGGGCTTCTCTGCTTAGGCTGCAGCCCTTACTAACCGGCCTCAGTTAAACAGCAGAAAATGAATGGGTGGGTGACTTCTTTGATTATGTGGTTTTTCAGAGGTAATAAACGTTTTTGGTGGCTGTTTCTTTCATATACTGGATATATTACAGTAGCAGACAACAAATTTAGAAGATATATTTTTTTAAACACATCAACTATAATAATCCGTAGAGTGCTTCACAGTCCAAAACATTTTTAATACCCACAACTGAATTATCCTAATACCCACAACTGAAACGAGGAGGCTGACGTTCATCTGTGTTTGAGCTGAGACACCACCTGGTGTAATAACAGGGCTGCATGTCTCACCCTGGGTCCTAATGGCGTCCTGGGAGGTGTGAACCTTCGGCTTCTGATGCTGTTCAATCCTGGCCAAGGCTGCAGCTCCAGCCCTCTGGGCTCCTTCACTGGGGGCATGTCGATCGTGCTTGACACTGGATCTGCCCTGCACCACCTCAGGCTTGGCACTGTAGGGTTATTAGGAGAGAAACAGCCCTATTAGAGGAGACGTGTTGTGGCTTCACAGTAGGAAGAAGAAAAGACAGTGCTAAGCTAAGTAGCAACGACAACAGTACAAACACGTCAGAATCACAACAGCTCTGCTTCCTGTTGAGAAGCAGGTTTGCTTAGTTCTTTAACTAAACAAGCTTGTGCAGGGATTAACTGTTAGTCAGGTCACCCTGAAATGATACAGTCGCCCCCCGCCGTGCTCAAGAATATATAAGTTAGCCGTTTGACGCACACCCGTGAGAAAAACACACACAAATTAGCACTGTTGTGGTTAGCTTCAATACATTGGGAGACGGAAAAGCGGTAGTCATTATTGACCAGCTGTCAGCTATGAGATAAGCCCGTTTAGCCAATGTTAAATAGCTATCTGTGCGGCTAGCTCTGCTTAGCGCTGTAGCAGCTGAGAAAAGAAAAGTTTGTTATTTGCCTGGTGTCTTCCGTTAGTTTCTTCCCGGGTCCCGCGGATTTAAATTTGATGTCTTTCTTAATGTCATCGAAAAACTTCTTCATTTTCTGTAGCTGCACAAAAATCTGACCACCAGGGGAAAAACAAACAGATGGGCAGCACCCAGCCTGGTTTTAGCGAGGAAGAGGAGGACCACAACAAATTGTTTCAAATGAGAACAAACTGCTTCCGCCTCATCAGGAGAGACGGTCGCCCCCTCGTGGTTGAACTCAGAACTGAAAGTCCAACCATTCCAGATCAGTTGTTCGTGTTTTATAAGACAACTTTTTATTATTATTATTTGACCTTTTTGTTTGTTTGTTTGTTTGTTTGATTGATTACATGTACTTACATTTTTGCAGAAATTACCCTAGTATTGACTGGCTCAAAGGTCAGCACAGAAATTGGTTTGTGTTGATTATCTTTCTAAAATTAAATGTTTTAATCTTGCAGTTAGATTTAGAACTAGTCAATTAACAGACTATTATGGTTATTATTATTTTTTTCAGATCAATGAACTGAATATGTTACTGATTTAATGAACAAATGAGTATACAGTAACAGCAGGGTGCTGCTGCTAATCATCCAGTCTGACACCTGACCTGATGGTATTATCAGAGCAGCCCCCTCTAACTCTTTAGGTGTCTGGTGATGCTGGATTTGGGAGCCTGACAGGATCCCATTTGAAGCTGCTGTGTTGTCAGCCATAGAGTCTGTCACCAAATAACAGTCGGAGTGCCAACGTTTCAGCAGCTGTATGATACAACTCTCAAGGCTGCTGCTGACCGCTTTTAGAGTCATCTTATTTCTATAGCTATCTTTGGTGTGTGTGGGGGGGTGGGGGGGTGGGGTGGGATCTTCACAGAACACTTGAATGCACATTTCACCTACTGAAGCAGTAGGTTCAATGTAAGTTTTTTTCAGGTTGTGCATAAAATTATTAAAGAATTATTATTTTTTATTTCTATAAAGCAAGGGAATATTAACAACCAGGCATCTCAGCACATAAAACATGGTAATGCATGCTTTCTCTTCAGATAAACACAATTTATATGCTAATTGTTAGAAAATGCATATAAACACACACACACACACACATATGCTATCACATTCTAGAAACACATCACATTAAGTTACTAAAAGCTCATTTTAGCTGTTCCCTAATTCACAGAGTGGTCGGCCCAATGCAACGCAAAAAGGTTTTGTGTCTCTTCTTGAGCTCGAACCAGTGATCTTTTACTTATTAGGTAAAACTGTAAATCAGTTACTACGATGGCAAACATAATGAGCTGTATCGATGTTAGACTAATATCAGTGTGAACAGTAATGAAAGAACAAATAGAAAAAAATTATAACAGAGATTAGTAAACGGGTTTAAAACACACAAATAAAAAACAATAATTTGTGTTTTTATTCTTTTTAGTTTAAGTGGAGATATGTACATTAGCTGGTTCACTGAAGCTGACTGCTCTGTCTCTACCTGTCTGATGATTTACCTTTGATTACATTCATAAAGCTGCTTTAGACTATCAAAGACTGTTAAGAACAAGTACAAATACGGAAAAGTGATGACAAATAGTATGACATAAAGTTTGCATGATTCGGCATGTCGGCAAATACAGATATATCAGAAAAAGAAGTGCATTTTCATCTCTTTATTAAAGTAATCAAAGAAACTGTCAACATATCTCTTTGGGCTCAGTAGGTGAAGCCATAAAATTTATATAAATAGAATTTACAAAAATACAGTTAGTTGTTCATTTTCCTTCACATTTTCCAAAGCTGTCCAGAGGTGATAAGAGTCTTTGATGGTGTGGTGCAAAAAAACAATTAGTTATATTTAAAATGCTGTTCATGACTTGTTGCAATATAATCTGACAAGAAAATGTCAGACATGTTTCTCAAACATGATTTCAAGACGAAATAAAAGCTGTGATCAGTTTTTGGCAAGGGGGCTTGTATATATCTTTCATTTATCCCGGTAAAAAGGGAAATTGACGTCAAAAATGTATTTTTCAAGAAAGATGTGCCCAAGGGGGCAGCACAAATGGCAGAAAATGGTTATCTCAAGATATTTTAAGTGGCCAGAACAGACTGCTGTGATTATCAAATAGGTAGAATCAAGAAAGGTTCTTGCAAAACAGGCCATGTCTTTATTTTATATATAACCTTTTCAGAAAACCTATTGACTGCAGTCTATTTAACAATATAAGCAAATATATTACACAGATAGAAAACAGTTTTTCGCACAAAATCAGAAACATTATGCCCC